AGGGCCGGCCGGCCGAGAACGTCTCCGGGCCCGGGGACGCGCCGGCCGAGACTGCGCCCCGGGCCGACTCCGAAGGCGGCCGCGCGCCCGCCGCCCCTGACCCTTCCTCGGTCGATCCACCCTCAGACCCATCGGCCGATCGTATTTGTCTGATGTTTTCTGACGTGACTTCATTGAAAAGCTTTGACTCTCTTACAGGCTGCGGAGATATTATCGCAGACCCCGAGGACGAGGCAGGTCCCAGCTGTGCCAAGCATGCCCCCGGGCCAGGTCAGCCAGCCCCCTCCAAAAAGACCCCGGGCGTGGTGGCCTACCAAGGAGGCGGGGAGGAGATGGCGAGCCCGGCCGAGGCGGACGACTCCTACCTGCAGGAATTCTGGGACATGCTCTCCCAGACCGAGGACCAGGGATCAGGGCCCCAGGAGGGGGCGGCCACAGCGGCCGCAGCGCCAGAAACCCCGGTGGCACCCGAGACCCCCAGAGACGCCAGGTGTGCGGAGGGTGCCCAGGACGCGTCCTCGGTCAAGCGCCGGAGGCTCAACCGCATCCCCGCGGAGCTCCCCGCCAAGGAGGAGCCCCAGCACCCGGAGAAGGAGCCTCCGGAAGGCGCCCCCAACGGTGACGAGGGCCACTGGGACTCCAGCACCCCTGGGCCCGAGGAGGACAGCTCGGGCGGCGCGAGGAAGGCGGGCCTCCCCCGGGACAGCGACAGCGGCGACGCGCTCTACGATCTCCACGTGGAGCCCGAGGGAAGCCCCGCAGCCCTTCCCGCCGCCAGCGAGGAGGCGTCCAGCTTGTCCCGGCTGAAACCCGTGTCCCCGGGCACCATCACGTGCCCGCTGCGGACGCCGGGCAGCTTGCTGAAGGACTCCAAGATCCCTGTCAGCATCAAGCACCTCGCGACCCTGCCATCCAGCCATCCGGCCGTGCACCAGCAGCCAGCCAGGAGCGAGATGCCCAGAACAAAAATCCCGGTGTCCAAAGTGCTGGTCCGCAGGGTCAGCAGCCGGGGCTTGGCCGGGACCACCCTCCGGGCCGCGGCGTCGTGCCACGATGGTGCCAAAAAGTTGTGAGGCCTCCGAGGCCAAGGTGGAGGGGCCCCGTGTCAAGGAATACAACTTTCCCTGGAAACTACTTCGGCAAGTTTCGCTTCCCGCTCAAGAAAGGCTTTTCCAATAGGCCCTGCTCCCGCGCCTGCACCGAGGAGGTCTTTGTGCCGCCGGCAGGGGCGGGACACACTGCAGAGGGGAAGCTTCACTCGGGCTTCTCCCCTCAAAATAGATCCCCGAGAATTATTTTCAAGCACGCTTTTTCCTTTTTTACCTTTTTTACAAATCTTTTTCTTTTTTTTTTCTTTAATGCACTGAACACTCGGAAGTCACCTTTACTTGCCTTTGCAGAAAGCAGGACTTCAAACCTAAATGCGCATCAGGCCGTGATATTTGTCTGTGCCAGGGTCCAGCGGGCCTGGAGGGACCGCCGGGAGAACCAGAGGGGCCCTCTTCTTCCTGACACGTCCCTTCCTTCCTTTTCCTTTCCAGGAAAAAAAAAAAAGACCCTTTGCTGTATCACTGTGTGGAAAACACCTACGGAACTGAAAGAGACAGGTATTTACCTGATGAGCGGAGGGATCGCTGATTGGCAGGAAACCTGCCGACTTTCGGTTGCTAGGTATGCAGACAGGCATTTATCTACCAACGATGGAGGAGAGTTTGGGTTTGCTGGGTTTATTTAGATCATTTGGGGAGAAATAAAATGCTCAGCAGAGCAGGGTCCCCCACCCCTACCCCCACCCCACCCACCCAGTGCAGAATTCAGGATCAGGGGAAGATTTCACTAGATGCCAACAGACACAGTGCTTCAGCATTTATAAGCTGTAACCTCTTCATGTGTAGATAATACATACTTTACAGATTATCCAGCTGTTAACATTTTATAATCCGTCCATAACCTCGAGTTTAAAATCTGGTTTTATAGCTCGACATGAAAACCGGTCCCAAACCATTGATGTTCTTTTAGGTCCTATAAACCGAAGCAATTCTGTTTCTGTTTTAGATGGGTTCTCTGGCTTTCAGTGCAGGAAAAAAAATCTATTGTGTTGATGTCCCAAAGGAATGGTTCTGCCTTGTCTTAGGTAGGAGTCTGTTTGCTTTTCACCCCAGACCCTGGTTTTCAGATCTTGGTTATAAAATTTTTGGAGTCAATCATTTCTCAGTGTGGGGGAACACGTAAAGAAAAACCATAGAAAATGTCGTTTTGCCTGTCCTTTGACTTCCGTTTTATAGATTTAGGACTGAGACATGTATGTTCAGAACATGACACTTGGGAATCTTATGCATAAGAAGTATCTTGTGCCAAGATGATTTTTGAAAAGTGGTTTACTTACATGTATGTTTCCTGTTATTTTAGATGAAGCTTTCATTTCAGAAAGGGTTACCAAATGCCATGATAGTTTGAATGATCAACTCAATTGGTTCCTAGAATGCTGTTAGGGTCTAATGATTATATAGTATCCTCTGTGAAATGCACTTAAGCGCATTTAAGCAAGAGACCAGGGCTTCCACTAGGAGAGAATTCATGGTATCAGGAAGATGAGACATTTTCCAGTGCAGCTGCACACACGTAAAAGACATACACACTTCTGGATAACTCTCATTTTCCGGAGAGATTCCCTAAGTAGTGAACTGATTGTACATGCTTTTTAAATTTGTTCTCTGTTTTGCAAAGGAAAGAACCAGGCAAGTTAAGTATGTGAAAACCTACTTTAGCAATCTGAAGGAAGGAACGAACAGACGTCAAAGGAATACAAATCTGAGGCCATAGCACAAAGCAGGTTGTTTTCCATTTCAAATCTGCAGTGATTCCATTAGAAGAGGTGGTAGAGATTTGCTGAATGTCTTTATTATTCAGATGACTGGCTTTTATTGCATCATGTCAGATCTTTAATGTTATTTCAAAGTAGTGCTTTGATATTTAATTGCCTTGGGTCTATAGATGAGGTCCTGTAGGCAGACAGCCTTCAGCACTTGGAGTCTACCACTAGGAATTCATCCAGCAGCCCACACACTTCATGTGCTCACGCACGCAGCTGTGCACAGCTAACAGACAAAGGCGTTCACTGTGAACTTGGAGATATTTTAGGAATCAGTTCTGTCTGGAGAAGGGGATTTAAATTGGATTCAACACCCATAGTACAAGGTAGACTCAAAATATGGTCATTTCCCCGTAGTGAATGGGAAGACCGTAAATGTTATTCTAGCTGTAAAACAAAAGATCTTTATTTTCTTCTGGTTCATCTTCTTGCAAGGGTTACATTCTTCTCCGCATGAATCCATGACAGAGTTATATTAGTTCATCTGTTCAGTTGCACAGGGAAGGGAGGAGGACCCGAAGGACTGATGAGAATATTGTCATAGGAAAGGCAACCTATTTATCTATTTTGTAAGCCCTGGAACAAACTATTCTTGCCTTCACAGTTTGAGACTTATTTCTGCATTTACACCACTGTGCTGTTTTCTTTTTATAAGTAAAGAAAATGTCAGCCACGTCTACCTTAATTTCCCCTTGCCTGTCACTTAACCAGTTACACAAGGTTTAAAATACTTTCTTCTCATTCTTTTTGCCATATATTTTCTGTGTTTTTTCGCTCTCTCTCTCTCTAAGAATTACACCTGCACCTGTCAAATGAAGGATTCAGACAATAAATTAAATGGCCTCAATTGCTTGATGGGAACTCAGGACCAGTGCAGGAAGGTGTGTCTTAACCTTTTCCAACCACAGACAAGGGATGTAGTTGCCTTTTTGTGCTAAGGGCTACTTTCTCTCATTCATGGAGATTTTTCTAGAATTTTAATAGATTTACATTCCAATTAATGTGTTCTCTAATTTGGCCATATTTGCTGATTTTTTTTAAGGAAAGCGTTGGATACGGCCTATCTATGATTCTGAGATACTTGTTGATTAAGTCGCTGTAGTCAAAGAGCTGGCCAGATTATATGGGAAAAGGTCCACTCGGTTGTTGTTGGCCCTGAGTTCATCAGTCAGCGTAATGGCTTTGCACAGAGACAGCCTGACTTCAATACCTGCGCTCCCCGGACGGTGTTACTCTGCTTCAGTACTGATGCTTTTGTATTTCCGCTAGCACCAGCGAGGAGAAACTGCTGACGGCCTTCTGCATAGTCACAGGAGGAAACAGACTTTCATGATCTCTCCCAATAACTACAACAGAATAGAGAACCACTAAGGGCTTCCTTTAGATCCGCTTCCCACAGATTATCTGCCTACTTAAATGCAAAGTGTGCGATGTGGTAGGAAAGTGATGACTTACCGAGTTCGAAGGGTTTATTCATTAATCTCAGAAGTAGTGTTCAGGGATTTGCACTGACATGATTCTTCACATGACCTTTCACCTACACAAAAAGTAAATCATCAAAAGGAAAGTTACCAAAGTAAAGAGACGGTCTCAGATACCAAGATGTCTTTGGCTGAGCTTTTCTGAGTTCTCGCTGTTTACGTCTTGGTCAGACTAATTTCCGGCAACTTTTTACCGTGAACTTTGTACGAAGAGATTGGTTAGGGTAGCTTTCTGTCCTTGCCCTTGGCCTCTGCCGTGTTTGTGCGGTGCCCTCAGGTGGCAGTCCGGGGCTGCTGCTCCTGGTGTTTGTCTGTTTTCACATCCGTACCGTGGAACTCAGTCCCCGCTTGTAGTCACTGTAGGTTTCTCTCCTGAATTAGAACTATGTGGACGTGGCCCCTGTGCTTGGCGTCTACTGAGCATGTCCCTGGACAGTCACAGAGACTTAGCTCCCCTTATGATTGTTAAGAAGTTAACCCAAGGATTTTAGACCCTTAAACAGAAGGAAAAAGCATCACCATTGTGTGTATTTAGCACCACTGAGGGCGGCCCATTAGAAGGACCTGGATGAGGGTGAAGGTAGAGCTCAGGGGAAGAGCATGGGCTTAGCAGGCACGAGGTCCTGGGTTCCATCCCCAGCACCTCCACTGAAAAAGATAAAAAATAGAAGGACCTGGATGAAACAAGGAGAGAAACCCAAATACCACCGCCCGATCCCATTTCCCTCCCCCGATGCAGGCAGACAGGGAACACACGGCACAGGTCTCATTTATTCTTCTTCAGGAGTTTTCAGTTCTCTGTGCACAAGTACTTAGAAAGCAGTGGGGACCCTGAGGCCAGTACGGCAGCCGGAGTCTCGTTCGGGGAAGCGCGAGGCCAGCACTTCCTTTCTGAGAGGAGGCGGCTGTAATGTTGTCGGGTGGTGTGGGCGTGCGGCCCCTCCCCCAGGGCAGGGATTGATCCTGCGACCCTGTCCTGCCCTAGAGAGCCTCTGATGACTCATGGCTGTCCTGGAGCCTTCTCACAGCCTTCTCACTGTGATGACCATTGAAAGGAGACTGTTTGTTGCAACAATAGCCACTTACAAGGAATGTTATCTCCCTACAGATGATGTTTCAAAGGAGAGATTCAGAGTGGGAGTTTCATGATTATGGAAAGGAACTCCTTTTCAAACCGAAAAACAAAAGATTAAAACAGCCACAAAGCCCCAGCACTGGAACTGGGCACATTTTATGACTGATACTTGCTTTAACTCAATGCACCACGTATTCAGGGGCATAGACTGTACCTAGGGCTTCACAAAACCCCGTTCCGTTAGGAGCCCCCACGTAACTGCGCTGGAATCAGAGATTCTTTGTAGTCATTACAAACCCCTTTATTTTACTTTACCTCCTTTTATTTTGTATTTTTTGCTCGTAGTTTGTGGGCTGGAGCAGAGTAGCGTGAGATCGGACAGGGGTAGTGTCGAATAGGTCACGCGAAGTCCTCTAAAAATAATCATTGTAACAAGGCTGACCGTGTGCTGGGTGCTTGCTCTTGCCAACCTCTCCCAGGAGCTTTGCAGGTACTTAGTGCTCTCAGCAGCCATGTGGGCAAGGCGACGCTATGTCCCTAACAGGGCACACGGACTTCATCCTTTGTTCCTAGTCTATTCCATCCGTCTGTCCGTCTGTCTGTCTATCCACCCAGTCTCTGGGACAGGGATATATATACACTCTTGAGTGACTTACAGTAATACCAGAGCTGATACCAATACTGCTTAATCTCATCACCAGCTCACTCTCAGTAGGGAAAGAGCTAACGCATGCCTCACGCAGCCGAGGGCTGACGCGCCCATCCCTGGGGGAAGGCTGCCCCTGCCTACCCTTCGGAGACAAACATCTGCCTCTCTTTGGAGGAATCCTCGCCTTCGTGGGATTGACTCCAGCAGTGTGGATGGAAATCTCTTCCGTTGTCATGGCGATGCTCCTTCCCTGATGGGGTTTCAGTCATTCTGAGCACGTTTTGTTTTCCCACCTTACGCCCAGTCTAGGCTGGTTCTGGGTGTCCTGTGTTGTCTGTTTGAATAGTAGGGAGCAGCGTGACCCCTCCCCTTGACACAATTCCACACTGCAGGGGAAGCTCCTGTCTCTGGTCTTGAATCCTGGCTTAGGTGTTCTGATTCGTTAATTCCTTCAACTAATATTTACTGAGCACCTCTAAGTCAGTCGCTGTGAATTTGAATATTTTATATTTAGTTAAAAGAACGGAGCATAAACTTTGTGTTCAAGCCGGGATGATGCTCTGTGTTCTCTGTTATAGTCCTGTTCACGGGAACCAGGCGAGGTGGGTAGCACTCTAGTCTACAGAGGAAGAAAATGAGGAAAAGGAAAATTTTTGTCCTAAGTCACTCATTTAATAAGCAGAGGACAGAATATGAACCAGAAATCTAGCTCTCTGGCTCATGCTTCAATTATAAATCTCTTTTAGCCGTGTGAGTCAGCTTTTATGCGACTTATTTTTGGGAAGAAACTGATAAAGGTTCTGAACGGCGAGAGCCAAATCAGATTTGTATGATTGTGGACACCACTAAAATTTCGACCGTTTTAGTTAAAAGTGAACGTGGCTTTTTGAAAAAATTACTTGCTGGCTGTTGTACACACAAGTCTTAAAGGTAGATCTCAGAGCTACAGGGTTTGTTTTCTCACCTGGCAAGTCAAAATTTGGGGCCATGTTCACCAGTTAGGTTAGAGTTAGTTACACGCTAGCAGGTCTGCATGCAGATGTTATAATCTGATGACTGCTTTGTCAATAATGAAACAACCAAAGCAGTTTCAGCAGTGAATCTGGCAGAGTTTCCTTCCACTCTGTTATTTGGATGCCACTCTCTGTATTTAAGGAAAATCACTTTGCAATTGCATCACACAATTAACGAGGTTATTTTGTTCATATATGGGCTGCCTACACTTGGTAAAATGCTTTTTTGATGAGATGCAGTGAAAGAAGTCAGTAACAGGTGGTCCTTCCACCAAATTGTAAACTGGGATAATTTTTGTCAATATCCAGTAATTGAGTAGAGTAAATTTCTGCACTATGTGAGGAAATACATTTTTTAATAAAATACAACCGAGGTCACTGGTTATTGGAGGCATAATAAACGTCTCAGACACCTTCCTGGGTCGTTTAGTAAACTAAAGCAGGAAATGCTACGAATACCTGGTCATGTTGCACAGGGGCCTCGAGTTGACACAGAGGAGATGCTCGCTGTCGTGTCGTGAGATGAAATGGACCGGGAGGCCGGAGGAGGCTGTGAGCCTTCTCGGACAACTACATCTCAATGCTTACCCCCCCACACACACTGACTTCTGAGTAAAGGCAGAGGAGCTCTAACATTTTGATCGCTTCCAGGATAAGTTTAACTGAACTTAGAGGATCTGATGGTGGTATTTTTTTATCAGGAATATCAGGGAAAATGGCTCAGATGTTATAGACAAAGTGAGTTCCTGTCCTTTCTTCATGGGCTGCAGCTGCCTGCCCGGCTCGTTGCTAACTTCTGGTTTTGCCCAGATTATTTATATGAAATATCTCAGTGTCATACAGGGAAATGCAGGTTGTTTGGGAATAAAGACAAGGAAAACCCAGATGAGAAGCTCTGTTTCTGTAACTAGTTTTCCTGCAAGTTGGCGTGTCCCTGAGGACGGGCTGTGGGCTGCGTTATTTTTGTGCACAGGAGGGAAGCTGTTAGTAGGGTGATAGATATTATTTTTGTAATAGAATGTTAAACGCCCCCAAACATCACAAATTGTCCCTAGAACTACTCTATGTTTTTAAAACTTGTTTTAAAAAAAAGGGTTCTAAATAGCAATAGGGTCTTTTCTCCTTTCTCCACTCCGATGGTTTAATGGGATAAATGAACCAATGTTTATATTTTTAAACCTGTAAATATTTTATTTTGGGTATTTTGTATATTTGTTGAGATACTTCCATTGGGTGCATACGGACCATCATGCATGTTTTTGATAGTCACTCTTTTCATGAATGTGAGAGGCTTGGACTAATAGCACTTTCCTTGTTTCATTCAAACATCTTAAAATGAACATACAGCACTGCCATTTTAAATGTTGTGTTTAATTCAGTCAATAAATTTTGTTGATCCTTTACATTGAACGTGAATTCTGTGGGTGGTTATTTTTCTGGGATAAATTTTATTTCCAGCCTCTTCAATTTTTAGAATTTATACTAATGATAATGATGATGATGTAATAATAATTGTGTGTGGTGTTGTGTGTGTGTGGGGTGTGTATGTGGTATGTGGTGTGTGTATGTGATGTGATGTGTGTGTGATATGATTGTGTACGGTGCGTGCGGTGGTATGTATGTGTGTGGCGTGGTGTCTGTGTGGTGTTGCGTGGTGTGGTGTGGTGTGTGTGGTGAATGTGGGATGTGTGTGTATGTGTGTGTGTGTGTGTGTGGTAGAAAGACCAGTGGGAGACCCATATTTCTCGCACACTTTATGAACAACTGAAAAGTTATTGTTTGGCTGGAGCAGTCGCCTTTTGAAAGGCTTGCTCGTTATTGTAACTCTGGTCTGATTTCCGAGCCCTTCTGCTCAGCACATCTCCATCCTTTATAACCCTCCGTGAGCCCAGCTGACCTGCTGAGGCTGCTAGTGAGCAGTGACTTGGAGTCTTTCTAGAGAACTGTTTTCTGGTTTTATTTCGTTTTGTTTTGGGGAATATGTTTTCACTTCATATGTCTCATAGTTCAAATCCGTAGTATTTTTGAAGCTTAATGTGAAGAATAATGAGGTTGTGCCATTTTCTGTTTGAAAAATAAGAACTGAAGTCTGCCTGAGTTGTTTGGAATCCACTTCCCTGAAGACGGGCTTGTTCACACCGCAGTTACTTACATTTCTCTTAACTAGCAAGAAAACTTCTATTTGTCTGTAGAACTTGATGCGTAACTTCCAAAGGGAGACCTGACCGGCCCTGAGACTGGCTCAGCACCCGCGCACCAGCAGAGCCACAAGCCGTGCGGCGAGCAGTTCACAAAAGCCGCGCTCCCTCTCTGCCAGCCTGCGGTCTTCCCTCCTCTTCCCTGCTGTTCCTGGAGGTAACGCAGAAGGAGGAGCAGAAGCCAGAGACACCAGAACTTACCTCAGTTCTCTGAGGTGGTGAAGTGTGGTGAAAAGAGCCCAAGTTTGGGAACCGGGCAGAAGCTGGGTCTGAGCTCTGGTTTGGGCACGTACCAGCTCCAAATCCAGGCAGCTCCCTGAGCTCCTATGAGCCGCAGTTTCCTGCTCTAGAAAGGACCGTGAGATTTAATTAATAGAGCAGTTGTACCATTATTAACCTTCAGAAAGCTAGGTGTCTGAGACATAGTATTTTTTTGTATATGTTAACTGAGCTCCTTTTGTTTAAAAAAGGGGGCATTTACAAAAATTAAAACTTCGTGGGTTGGAGTTGAAATATTCTTGGACAGAGAACTTGCTTTGATGGAAGGTGAAGATAAATGTGGACTTTGAGATTGGTGAAGAGTGGTGACATGTGCTTAGGACTGGAACTGGTCTGAAGTGTGTTATTCTGACACACTGCTCTGGAATTCAGGGCCTACAGGTGGTTGGGAGAGACTCGTCTTCGTGGAGGAAGTCCAGGGGAGAGGCTAGCTGAGTTGGTTGCGGAGTTGGCAGCCACAGGAGCAATGATAGTGACCATCTTGACACGATGGGGCCAAATCAGAATGGAGTTACTCCCCTAGACTCCAGCCAACAGGCTGTAAGACACAGCACAACCCTAGCTGAAGGCAGGGAGCTGGGTGGTTTAGCACAGTGCAGAGAAATGGCTGGTGCATTTAACCTGAAACAAAAAGTAACTGTCTGGGCTTGAGAGATGGAAAATAGTTTAAGCGACAGAGCAATTTCTTCTCCCATTTCCAGCAGTGGATGAGCAGGGCGTACGCTCTGAACTGGCCTCAGCTCCTGATTGCCTCTGTCAGAGTGGGCATCGCCCTGCCCTGCGACGTGAGGTTCTGGAGCTGAATGAGGACACTGCTCCATCCTCATGGCTCTCGAATGCAGAACAGGCTCATCTAGTGCTCCAGCAATGCGCCGTCAATTCTGACACTGAGGGAGCTGCTGGCCCTGCTGGACGTGATGGGTGGACGTCAGTCTCCAGTGTGGGCATCACAGGGGAGTTTTAAGGACATACACAGTCTTTCCCTCTTATGCTGTTTGCACCGTGCGGGGAATTTGAAGCTGAATGTTTAGAGTCCCGGCGAAGCAACTGTGAACCAAAGATGAGTGAAAGGACGCCTCTCGGAAGGTGCAGTTCAGTGTCTCCCACCCGACCACAGAGAACAGAGCCCTGGAGAGCCGCCCGGGGCCCTCCGCTCCGCCCGGGCCTGTGCCCGCGGACTCCTGCACACCCTGGGACAGATCGGCATTTGAGACCACAGGGGGTGGCGTGACACGTGGTGGGGTGAGGACGGGGTGTCCCTGAGAAGGAAGGGGTGCACGGGAGAACACCAAGCCGCAGACAGAGCCTGTTCCCCTGGTGAATCCCAGGAAGCAGCAGCAAAGGGCGCCTTGCGTTCCATCAGGGAGGGGGGCCTAGGCTTCTAGGTTTGTAATTTGAGAGGTTAGTTTCCTTCTCAGCTCTTGAGGTCTGTATACACCCCATGCCCTGGGTGAAGGCGGCCTTTAGAAGGTGACTGAGCAGCCTTGGTGATGATTCTAACGCCAGAAGCAGCCTCTGTTCTCGCTTTGCTGTTCCGTGGACGGAGGCACCATTGAGAGGACTCTTGTCCTTGTGGGCAGCTCAGGGACGGCTCTTGCCAGGTGCTCATGTGATCCTGGGCCCAACGTCACATTCTCATTGCGTCTTTCCATCCGATGAAAAAGTCACATCCACTATTTGTGATAGTAAGTGGGTTCACGCCTTTGGTTCAGTTCAACGAATATCTGGTACTCACCGTGTTGGGCTCCGTGCTCGGCGTGGTGGGCGTGGGTGAAATATAACACCTGCCCCTCTGCCGAGGTCCCGTGAACTTCTCGATAAACTCCCTGTGCAAATCTGTGTCTTGGTGTCATTTCCTGGGGAACCTCAACCTAAGATATTATCATTTCCATTTTCCAGTGAAAAAGCGAAGCTTTGGGATCTTAAGTGTTTCTGGCAACAGAAGGTTAGATAGAGTTAAAACTTTCTTTCTTATACAGAATACATAATGCCTGACAAAATTCACCTTTCTTTCAGCGCGTAGCTGAGCCATCAGGGAAGGGAGGCCGGGAGTCCCCAGGTGTAACTGCCGACGCCTGGAAGACAGGAGCGTCGATGAATGGGCTGGACCACGCGGGAGATGCTTAAATCCGCAGTCAGAGCTGCAGGACTGTTTTGTAGACCTTCTCTGGTGATTAAAGGTCAAGCAGGCCCAAAATCTGTACGGAGAAAGCTTTGAGCAACACATTTGGACACATACATAACCCTGGACCAAACGATTGGAGAATCCACATTCTTTTCAAGTACAGATGAATCCCTGACTGCATCTTAGGCCATGAACTAAGTCTCCACACATTTCAAACCATCAGCTCCATGCAGAACATGTTCTCTTCCTACAATCCAACTATGCTAGAAATTAGCAGGAGAAAGATAACCAAAACCATTGCATGCATTTGGAGATTGTTTTAAACGAACCTTTCAGTGACGTCCGGATTGAAGAAATGTGTATAAATACTAGAAACAATTAAAAGTACATAATTATGAAAACATTGTATGTTAAAACATGAAATAGGGCTAATGGTTCCTTAGAGAGAATTTACAGCCAAATGCTTAGATTAGAGGAAAAAAGACTGAAGATTAATGAGTTGAGAATCCATTTTAATCAATTATAAGAAATTAGAAAAAGAGTAACAATAAACCCACAGAAAGTATAAGTCAGGAGTAATGAGATGGAAACCAGAGATACTCCAAAGTGGACTAACAAAGATTAACATCGGTATTTTTGAAAAATATGCAGTAATATTTATTTTTTTAATTTCTTTTTTTGGTGTTTTTTTGTTTTGTTTTGTTTTGTCTTTTATCTTTTCCCTTAACAGTGGCACTGGGGATTGAACCCGGGGCCTCGAGCATGCCAAGCACATGCTCCACCACTGACCTATGTCTCCCACCCCTAGTCCAGTAATATTTATTAAGGAAAAATAGAGAAACCACAAGGTCCTACTGCAGAGCACAGGGAACTATGTTTAATATGTTGTAGTAACGTATAATGAAAAAGATATGAAAAAGAATATATATAATGTGTGTATAACTGAATCACTGTGCTGTACATCAACAGTAAATCAACTATACTTCAATTTAAAAAAAGCAAAATATAGAGACATACAAGAAACCTTCAGAATGGGAAGATGGTCCAGCTACAGCTGCAGCAGAGATCAAAAGATAAAGGATGCTGTAAAAGTTATGCCAATAAGTTTTAAAATTTAGACAAAATATACAAATTCCAAAAATAAAAACTGCCAAAAGTGACTTGACATAAGAAACAGATAACCCAGGGAGTCGTGAACCCACAGGGACATTGAATTGGCAGTTAAAACCCTCCCTCTTTTTCCAAACAAAGCAAAACATTAAACCAAATGGCAGAACGATGTTCCACCAAACGTCTTGTCATCGGGTGACTTAGTCTAACGCCATCTCTTTCTTGGAAGGAGGGCAACATTCCTCAGGCATCGTCTGAAATTGGCAGGAGAGGGGACTACAGCCATCTCTCTACCGTGGAATTCAACGTCTCTGTACAAGCTGTTAGGAAACCGGAACCTAGTAGTCCGTGGAAGCAATCCTCACCGTGACCACACTGCGTCTGTGCCGGGAATGCAGATATGGTTCACCCACAGAAAGCCTGTTAATCCCATCCACACGATATTCAGTGGCTTGTAGTAGCCCGTAATGAAAAAGATGATGCATATATAAATATATATGTATAACTGGATCACTGAAAATAACGCGGCATTGTAAATCAACGATCCTTCAATTTTAAAAAGGGAGAAAAAAATCAAATGCCCATTAAGATTTTTTTTAAAGTGCTGTCCTTTTTTGCTTGTTGGTTTGTAAATTATGAAATATGCCAAACTTACAGAAAGTAATAAACACGCAAGTTCCCACCATTCCAATGAAAAA